CCTGCTCTGGCACCTGGATCCCACCTCCCTCTCCACGAGGTGGGGACGTCCCCTCCGTGTCCCCGTCCCCATCCCCATAGCATGATTGGGGCAGCCCTGGTGGCTGAGCCCTGCCCTCCCCTGCAGGCCCTCATCCGGCTGCGCTCAGGTGCTGGCCCACCCCGGGCACAGCCCCGTCACCAGCCTGGCCTGGGCACCCAGCGGGGACCTCCTGCTCTCTGCATCGCCGGTGGACACGGCCATGCTGGTGAGCGTGGGGCCGTGCTTCCAACCCCGCGTGCCGCAGCGGGTACCGGGACTGGGAGCACGCCATGGGGCCAGCGGGGCCGGGAGCCACGGGGGGACCTGGACCCTTGTGGAGCACAGACCCAGGCTGCAAGAGCAGCTCCAGAGCCTGAAGGGGCTGCAGGGAACCTGGAGAGGGGCTTGGGACAAGGGATGGAGGGACAGGGACAGGCCAAGGGGAATGGCTTGAACCTGCCCGGGGGGAGACTGAGATGAGCTCTGGGGCAGAAGCTCTTCCCTGTGAGGGTGCTGAGGCGCTGGCACAGGGTGCCCAGAGAAGCTGTGGCTGCCCCATCCCTGGCAGTGCTCAAGGCCACGTTGTCCCCTCCAGGTCTGGGACGTGTCCACCGAGAGCTGCGTGCAGCTGCAGTGGTTTGGAGGCGGGGGGGTCACCTACTTGGCCTGGTCTCCCGATGGCAGCAAGGTGCTGGCAGCCACCCCCTCGGCCGTGTTCAGGTCAGCTCCTGCCCTTGGCATCGCTTCCGTCTGCGCCAGACCCCTGCTTTGTGTCCTTGCTGCTCCCGTTCCCACTGCAGCCAATGGGGGGGGATCGGATCCAGCCCCGTGGGGCAGATCTATGGGGTTCTCCCATTCCCATCCGCTCTTCTCCCCTGCAGAGTGTGGGAGGCGCAGATGTGGACGTGCGAGCGCTGGCCCACGATCACCGGGCGCTGCCAGGTACCGGGGCGTGTTCCCCCCCACCCCTGCCCCATTGCCAGCCCCACACCCCCCCGCAGTGGGTGCTGACGTGGGCCCTGTGCCCCACAGACCGGGTGCTGGAGCCCCGACGGCAGCCGCCTGCTCTTCACCGTGCTGGGGGAGGCCGTCATCTACTCCCTGTCCTTCTCCGAGTACCGAGGTGAGGCCCTGGGGGGCCCGGATCCGCCCCCCATTCCCCTCCTAGAGGCCCAAAGTGGGGGGGCCGGGCCGGGGCTGAGCGGGTTTTGTGTCCCAGGGGAGATGCAGGGGCAAGTGGGAGGCTCCAAAACAGCTTCCATAGTGGCGGACCTGTCCGAGACCACCTTCGAGACGCTCTATGGGGAGGAGAGGTGGGTCCGGCCCCGCTGACGGTACCGGGGAGCAAAGGGGGGGTCCGTGCCCCCCCGGCGCTGGGCTCTCACTGCTGCTCCTGCCGCTTGCAGGGTGGGGGGAGAGGTTCACTCCATGGTGTGGGACCCCACGGGCGAGCGCCTCGCGGCCATCATCCGAGGTGAGGAGCTGGGCACGGTGGGCTCAGCCCCCAGCCCTCTGGGATTCATCCCAGTTCCCCCCCCCCCACCAGCCGGGTCCAACCCCATGCAGGGGCTCCCTGTTCCCGTTGTTGCCCACGTTCCTCCTGGAGCCCAGCTGGGCCCCTTGGCTCCAGCCCCGGGATAACGGAGCCCTTCGGGTTGTCCGGGACAAAGCAGAGCTTTGAGGAGCACCGGGACGTGGTGCTGGGGGTGCAGGGAGGCACCCAAGGCTGGGTCCAAGCTCGGTTTAAAGTGGGGGGGACGACACCCCCATAGCAGCCACCCTCTGCCCTGCGCACATCCAGGCAGGTCCTGCAGGGATCTCGGTGCAGAAACTGGGACTGGATGGGAAATAAGCTCTGCATTGGAGGGATGGGGCCCCAAGGAGTCCCCAGGACCCAAAGCCTGGAGCTGGGGGGGTTTCAGTCACGGAGGGGTCCTTGGGAGCCCCATGAGGACTCCAATGGACGAGGGCCCCCTCCTGCTCCTCCCTCCCTCCCTCCGCAGGCAGCCCCGACGCGCCCGGGACCCACACGGTCGTCGCCCTGTTCCGCACCCGCAACAGCCCCGTCTTCGAGCTCCTGCCCTGGTGCGTGCTGCAGGGCCGGGGCTGGGGCCACTGCGATGGGGTCAATGGGGAGAAGCTGGGGCTGCCCCATCCCTGCCAGTGCTCAAGGCCACGTTGGGCACGGGCTCAGAGCGCCCTGCTCCAGTGGAAGGGGTCGCTGGGGCTGGAGGAGCTTTCAGGTCCCTTTTCTGCTTCTTTACCCCACACCCAGTTGTGGTTTGGCCACCTCATCCATTACCCACCTCAGCCCCCATTGCTCTGGGTCCCCGGTGGGGCCCAGCCCTCTCCATCTGCCCATAGCCCCCCCCCATTGACACCAATGCCCCCCCATGGCCATGCTCTGACCGCAGCTCCTCCTCTCCCCTGCAGCGGGTTCCTGCGGGGCGAGCGCGATGCCCAGCCCCAGCTCATCGCCTTCCACCCCTGCTTCGACCAGGGAGCCCTCCTGACTGTGGTGAGTGGGCCCTGGGGTCCCAAAGCGCTGCCTGGGGTCCCAAAGCGCTGCCTGGGGTCCCAAAGCCCTTCCTGGAGTCCCAAAGCCCTGCCTGGGGTCTCAGAGCCCTTCCTGGGGTCCCGAAGCCCTTCCTGGAGTCCCAAAGCCCTGCCTGGGGTCTCAGAGCCCTTCCTGGGGTCCCGAAGCCCTTCCTGGGGTCCCAAAGCCCTTCCTGGGGTCCCAAAGCCCTGCCTGGGGTCTCAAAGCTCTCCTGGGGTCCCAAAGCCCTTCCTGGGGTCCCGAAGCCCTTCCTGGGGTCCCGAAGCCCTTCCTGGGGTCCCAAAGCCCTGCCTGGGGTCTCAAAGCTCTCCTGGGGTCCCGAAGCCCTTCCTGGGGTCCCAAAGCCCTGCCTGGGGTCTCAGAGCCCTTCCTGGGGTCCCGAAGCCCTTCCTGGGGTCCCAAAGCCCTTCCTGGGGTCCCAAAGCCCTTCCTGGGGTCCCAAAATCCTTCCTGGGATCCCAAAGCCCTTCCTGGGGTCTCAAAGCTCTCCTGGGGTCCCAAAGCCCTTCCTGGGGTCCCGAAGCCCTTCCTGGGGTCCCAAAGCCCTGCCTGGGGTCTCAAAGCTCTCCTGGGGTCCCAAAGCCCTTCCTGGGGTCCCGAAGCCCTTCCTGGGGTCCCAAAGCCCTGCCTGGGGTCTCAAAGCCCTTCCTGGGGTCTCAAAGCTCTCCTGGGGTCCCAAAGCCCTTCCTGGGGTCCCGAAGCCCTTCCTGGGGTCCCGAAGCCCTGCCTGGGGTCTCAAAGCTCTCCTGGGGTCCCAAAGCCCTTCCTGGGGTCCCAAAGCCCTGCCTGGGGTCCCAAAGCCCTGCCTGGGGTCCCAAAGCCCTGCCTGGGGTCCCCATTGCTGTTCCCAGGGGACATCAATGCGGTGGGTGAGGAGGGATGTGGAACACACCCCCCCCCTCCCCCCCGGAAGGCAGAGAGCAGGGAGGGGGGAAGGTCCTTGCTGGGATGCGCATAGGGAATAACGCATCCCGGGGATGCGCACAGGGGATAACGCACCCCCTCCTCCTGCTCCATCCTCTGCCTCCCGCAGTGCTGGTCCACGGGCACCATCAGCCACATCCCCCTGTTCTTCATCAGCGCCCACGGCCCCTGCGCCAGCCCCAGCCCCGGCCCCGGCCTGGCCAGCACCAGCGTGCGGGAGCAGCCGCTCTTCTCGGAGCTGTGATGGGCTCCACATCCTCCTCTTCCTCCTCCTCTTCCTCCAGGGACCCAGCGTGGCCTCGGGGGCCTCCAGCCCCTCCTCCGGGGCTCGGTGCTCGGGAGGCTGTGATTAAAGCTGGGTCTTCCTCCCCGAGCCGTGCTCTTCCTCCCCGTGGGACAAGGGGCGATGGGTTCGGACTGGAACAGGGCAAGAGCAGGTTGGAGATAAGGGAGCTCTTCCCTGTGAGGGCGCTGGGACACTGGGATGGGCTGAATGGAGAAGGTTTGGATGTCCCATCCCATCAAGGCCGGGTTGGACACAGGGGCTTGGAGCACCCTGCTCCAGTGGAAGGGATGCTGCTGAACCCCAAACCCAGCCCATTTGGGGCAGCAGCTGGGCCAGACCAAGCACTGCAAAGGTTGTGGGGAGCAGATGCCCCCCCTGCCCCAGCAGTGCTTAAATCCTGGGATTACACATGGATAATCCCTGGGATTACACTGCAATCGCTCGGCTACAGCCCGGGGCAGGGATGAGGGGGAGAGCGTGGGGACCCCCAATCCTCCCCCAGCACCCCAGATCCTCCCCCAGCACAAGGACCCGGGGCACAATCAATGGGATACGAACCCCTCCGGTGCTTGGGGCAGGGCCGGACCCCTCTGGCTCCAGCTCAGAGCTCGGTGCCGAGCATCTCCATCTCCTCCTCCTCCTCCTCCTGCTGCTGCTGCTGCTCCCGGGCTGGCAGCGCCCGCAGGTACCGGAGCTGCAGGCGGGAGCGGGCCCGGCTCCTCCGGACGTGCCTCCCAACGCAGAGCAGAACGGCCCCGAGCCACCCGCCCATGGCCGCCAGCACCGCGGCGTCCGGGGCCCGCGCCGGCCCCTCCGCGCTGCCGTTGCGGCTGCTGCTGGCGGGGGGCAGCGGCGGGGGGGGACGGCAGCGGGGCCCCACGGAGCCGTGGGGCAGCGCCAGCAGCAGCAGCAGCAGCCGCGCTGGCCCCATGGCCCCGAGGATGGAGCTGGAGCGAGGAGGGAGCCGCTCCCCGCCCCCCCCCCCCCCCCGGCCTCTGCTGCTGGATGCGCGGTGGGGGGGCAGCGGGAGCCCAGCACGGTGAGGGGGGGGGGGGGGTGATGCCCGCACCCCAAGGACCCCCCCCACTGGGCACAGACTGGGCTTGGGAACCAGCACACGCAGGAGTGGGGACACGCTTCAGCTCCAAAGTCTTGTTTGGGGCTTGCACCATCCCACACCGGGATGAGGGGCAGTGCTCCCCCTCCCGCCCCAAGCCCCATAACAACGATGCCATCCCATGCCTTGATCCCCGCATCAAAGGGTCCCTTTGGGGGTGCCGGTGCCAGGAGGGGCCTCCTCCCCTTTGTGCTGCTCCAGAGTCCTCCGGGCCATCTCCAGGGCCCCCTCCCGAGTGCGGTGGCCGCCGATGAAGCCGGTGGCGTGCACGAAGACGCAGCCGGGGATGCCGGAGAGCCGGGATAAGGCCTCGTCCCGGAGCCCCCGCCAGGGCTCGGGCAGGGGCAGGCTGCAGGGAGGGAGGGGGGGGCAGAGGGTCAGAGCCTGCTGCCGGGGCTGGGATATGGGGCTGGGAATGGGGCTCACCGGCTCTGGAAGGAGTGCGGCGCCCTGGGCACGCTCTGCACCCGCCACTGCCCGGCCCGGTCCGGGAACAGCACCAGCAGCAGCGGCTGCGGCAGCGCCAGCTCCCGCTCCAGCCGGAAGAGGAGCTCCTGCCATGGGCACCCGGCCTGAGGCAGCTCCAGCACCGCCCCACTGCTGTCCACCTGCATGGGGGGCACGGCGGGGGGACACAGGGGGACATGGGGGGCACGGTGGGGACACGGTGAGGACACGGGGGGGGGGGGTCACAGTGGGGACATGGGGGGGTCACAAAGGGGACACAGGGGGACATGGGGGGGCACGGTGGGGACACGGTGAGGACACGGGGGGGGGGTCACAGTGGGGACATGGGGGGACATGGGGGGGGTCACAGTGGGGACATGGGGGGACACGGGGGGGGGTCACAGTGGGGACATGGGGGGGTCACAGTGGGGACATGGGGGGGTCACAAAGGGGACACAGGGGGACATGGGGGGCACGGTGGGGACACGGTAAGGACACGGGGGGGGTCACAGTGGGGACATGGGGGGACACGGGGGGGTCACAGTGGGGACATGGGGGGGTCACAAAGGGGACACAGGGGGGACAGGGTGGTCACGGTGGGGACATGGGGGCACACGGGGGTCACAGTGGGACACGGGGGGGACATGGGGGGACACGGGGGGTCACGGGGAGACACAGGGGGACATGGGGGTCACAGTGGGGACACGGTGAGGACACGGGGGGGGTCACAGTGGGGACATGGGGGGGTCACAAAGGGGACACAGGGGGGACAGGGTGGTCATGGTGGGGACATGGGGGCACACGGGGGTCACAGTGGGACACGGGGGGGACATGGGGGGGTCACAGGGGGGACACGGGTGGGACAGGGTGGTTACAGTGGGGACACAGGAGGGACACAGTGGGGACATGGGGGCACACGGGAGTCACAGTGGGGACATGGGGGGGACAAGGGGGTCACAGTGGGGACATGGGGGGCTCATGGGGGTCCTGTCCCGTGCCTCAGTTTCCCTACAAGCACCTCACCCCGAGCGTGTCTCCCTGGGGGTGCACGAGTTGGGGGGACACACATCGGGGTGCAGAGGAGCAGGGGGAGGTGGGGTGGTGGGCACGGGGCGGGGGGGATCCAGTGTGTGGCTGTGAGTGGGTACATAGGGGACAGGAGGGGGGCATGTGTGTGAGGATAGAAGGGTGCAGGGGGGTTGCAGGGCTATGATGAGGATACAGCGGTGCAGGGTCAGGGGTAAAGAATAGGGGGCTGCAGGGCTCTGTGTAAGGATAGAGGGGTGCAGGGCTGTGTTTAAGGGTATAGGGGTACAGAGGGGTGCAGGGCCATGTGTAAGGATATAGGGGTATAGGAAGGGTGCAGGGCTGTGTGTAAGGTTATAGGGGTGCAGGGCTGTAAGGATATAGGAATGCAGGGGGGGTGCAGGGCTGTGTTTAAGGGTATAGGGGTACAGAGGGGTGCAGGGCCATGTGTAAGGATATAGGGGTACAGGAAGGGTGCAGGGCTGTGTGTAAGGATATAGGGGTGCAAGGCTGTGTGTAAGGATATAGGGATGCGGGGGGCTGCAGGGCTGTGTGTAAGGATATAGGGATGCGGGGGGGTGCAGGGCTGTGTGTAAGGATATAGGGGTGCAGGCGGGTGCAGGGCTGTGTGTAATGATATAGGGGTGCTGGAGGGGTGCAGGGCTGTAAGGATATAGGGTGCATTGGGGGTGCAGGGCTGTAAGGATATAGGGGTGTAGGAGGGGTGCAGGGCTGTGTGTAAGGATATAGTGGTGCTGGAGGGGTGCAGGGCTGTAAGGATACAGGGGTGCAGAGCCATGTGTAAGGGTATAGGGGTACAGGAAGGGTGCAGGAGGGGTGCAGGGCTGTGTGTAAGGATATAGGGGTGCAGGAAGGGTGCAGGGCTGTGTGCAAGGATATGGGGTGTTGGAGGGGTGCAGGGCTGTAAGGATACAGGGGTGCAGGGTCATGTGTAAGGACAGAGAGGTGCAGGGCCATATATAGGGATATGGGGTGCAGGGGCCCCCGTGGGCCATGCAGGGATGTCCATGTCGAGGGGACCTGCCCCCCCCCCCATCACCGCACTGCTCCCCCCCCAACCTCTGACCCCCCCCAGCCCCCCAATGAGCACCTCAAAGCGGCGCTGGATGCTCTCGTGCACCAGCGCCCGCGCCGGCAGCCAGCTCCGCTGGCAATGGTCCACGCGCTCCAGGAACTCACTGCGCACCAGCTCCATGGCCCGCTGGAACCCGGCCTTGGTTGGGGGGGGAAAACACACACAGGGGGAGGGCTCAGGGGTGGCACAGGCCGGGGGGGGTGTGGGGTGGCCCCGTGCTGCCCCCATGGCCCCATCCCCACCTCGGTGTCCTGGTCGGGGTCGTTCCAGCGCGGGTTGAGGCGGCCGACGCGGGCGCTGAGGGTGCTGCTCAGGGCGTAGCGGGGCTCCCCCTCCGCCTGCGCGATGCCGTTGTCGATGGCGTCGATCTCCTCCACGAAGCTCTCGTAGAGCTGGGGACAAAGGGGGGCCCTGTGCTATGGGGTGCCCCCCATCCGTGGGGGGGAGCTGGGGGAGATCCCCCCCACCCAACCCAGAGCCTCCATACCTGGTCATAGAGCGCAGCCACCACGGGGCCGTCCTCCAGCTGCCCCAGCAGCTCGGCCAGGATCTGGGAGCCGAAGTGGCAGTAAATGAGCCCGGCGCTGCTGAGCTTCGTGCTCCAGGGCTTGTCCGGCCGGAGGCTCCGCATGGAATGGGTGAAGGATCTGCAGGGCCGGGAATGGGCTGGGATGGAAAGGACCTGAAAGCTCCTCTCTGCTGCTGCACTGGCCCCTTGGAGCAGGGATGGAGCCTGTGGGTGCTCCTGCAGCGCTGGAGCTCAGCTCCTCTCTCTGGGATGGATCTTATCGGGGCCAATGGCCCCAGCTCCGGGTGGGGTCGAGCCAGGTTTGCTCATCCCTGTTGGCAAACGGTGTCGGGCCCTGGCTCCGCGTCTGCCAGCGCTTGCATCAGGTCGGTCTGAGGATGGGTGCTGGCGTGAGGCCATGGCTTGGGAACGAGGGCACAGCCTGAGCCGGGCTGGCGCCAAACAGAGCCACAAGAGATGGAAGAGAACCCCAGGGTGGAAGGGACCTGAGAGCTCCTCCAGCTCCAGGGACCCCTTCCACTGGAGCAGGGTGCTCCGAGCCCCTGTGTCCAACCTGGCCTTGAACACTGCCAGGGATGGGGCAGCCACAGCTCCTCCGGGCACCCTGTGCCAGCACCTCAGCCTAAGATCTTCCATCGTGGGACCCCCCCCAACACCCAGGGGACCCCGCTCTGGTCGCGGGGCGGGGGGGCTCACCTCTGGTGATGGTCATAGCGGTGCCGCTCAGGGTCGTACTCCCCCCCCACATCCACCACGACCTCGCACTGCGCCAGGCGCTGTGGGTCCCGGGTGCGCACCACCTCCGCGTCCTGTGGTGCAGGGGTGGGGGGGTGTGTGTGTAACATTGGGGAGCCCGGGGGAGGGCCCCCCCCCAGGACCTGCCCCTGGTGAGAACCGGGACCATGAGCGGCACTGAGAACTAACGGGGGACCCCAAGGGGAGGCCCTAAGGGTGCCCGTGCGCCTGACAGGGACTGGGTACCCAACGGGGGCCTGCGGGTGGGACCGGAGACCCCAGAGAGGGGCTGGGGACCCAAAGGGGACCCCTCCGGTACAAACGGGCCCCGCACGGAGGGACCGAGGGACCAAAGGGTGGCCTCGGGGTGGGAGCAGGACCCCAGAGGGGCCGCGGGTCTGAGGGGGGCACGAAAGCACCGGAACCCCGGGCCCTGCCCCCGGTTCCCAGTGGGCGGCGGCGCCGCTGAGGAGGCCCCGGTGGCGGGGCCGTACCCGGAAGCGCGGCAGCAGCCGCAGGAGCGCGCACGCCAGGGCCTCATCGCAGTGGAAGGTCCCGTCGTGGGTTCCGATGCGCGGCGCGGCCCCGGTACCGACCCCGGTACCGACACAGGCCCCGGCGGCGGCGGCCATGATGCGGGCGGCGCGGCGCATCACATGACACTGCGCATGCGTCATCCCCCTGCGCGCCTGCCCCCTCCACCCCGCCGTGCCTCGGTCTGCGCATGCGTCAGCCATGACTTCACCTCGCCCCGTCGCTCTGCGCACGCGCAGCTTCACCCGGTCGCCCCGGAGTGAGACGGGGGTGGAGCCAAAGGGCGGTGGGGGCGGTGCCAAGGGTCGAGCCAATGGGCGGGAGCGAATTCCCGGAGGCCACGCCCTCCCGCCGCAGGGTACACGTGCGCAGGCGGGCACGCGGCCACAGGCACGTGCGGGCGGGAGACACGTGTGCACGCGGACACGGGACACGTGCGCACACGCGGGACATACATGTACACATGGCACATGGCATGTGCACGGACACGTTCGCACACACACGTGTACACATGGGACACGTGCACAAACATACACGACATACATGTGCACACACATGACATACATGTGCACACACACACGACATACATGTGCACACACACGACATACATGTGCACAAACACATGTACACACAGGACATACATGTGCGCACACACGTACACACAGGACATACAGGTGTGCACACACATATGTACACACAGGACATACATGTGGACTCAGACATATGTACACATAGGATATACATGTGCATACACACACATGTACACACAGGACATACATGTGCACACACACGTACATACAGGACATACATGTGCACACACACACGTACACACAGGACATACATGTGCACACACACACGTACACACAGGACATACCCGTGCGCACACACACACGTACATACAGGACATACAAGTGCACACACACATATGTACACACAGGACATACATGTGCACACACACATGTACACACAGGACATACATGTGCACACACACACGTACACACAGGACATACATGTGCACACACACGTACACACAGGACATACATGTGCACACACACACATGTACACACAGGACATACATGTGCACACACACACGTACACACAGGACATACATGTGTGCACACACACGTACACACAGGACATACATGTGCACACACACATGTACACACAGGACATACACGTGCACACACACACATGTACACACAGGACATACACGTGCGCACACACACACGTACACACAGGACATACATGTGCACACACACACGTACACACAGGACATACATGTGCACACACACACACGTACACACAGGACATACATGTGCACACACACGTACACACAGGACATACATGTGTGCACACACACGTACACACAGGACATACATGTGCGCACACACATGTACACACAGGACATACACGTGCACACACACACATGTACACACAGGACATACACGTGCGCACACACACACGTACACACAGGACATACATGTGCACACACACATGTACACACAGGACATACATGTGCACACACACACGTACACACAGGACATACATGTGCACACACACATGTACACACAGGACATACATGTGCACACACACATGTACATACAGGACATACATGTGCACACACACACACGTACACACAGGACATACATGTGCACACACACATGTACACACAGGACATACATGTGCACACACACACACGTACACACAGGACATACATGTGCACACACACATGTACACACAGGACATACATGTGCACACACACACACGTACACACAGGACATACATGTGCACACACACATGTACACACAGGACATACATGTGCACACACACACACGTACACACAGGACATACATGTGCACACACACATGTACACACAGGACATACATGTGCACACACACACACGTACACACAGGACATACATGTGCACACACACACGTACACACAGGACATACATGTGCACACACACATGTACACACAGGACATACATGTACACACACACATGTACACACAGGACATACATGTGCACACACACACACGTACACACAGGACATACATGTGCACACACACATGTACACACAGGACATACATGTGCACACACACACACGTACACACAGGACATACATGTGCACACACACACGTACACACAGGACATACATGTGCACACACACATGTACACACAGGACATACATGTACACACACACATGTACACACAGGACATACATGTGCACACACACATGTACACACAGGACATACATGTGCACACACACATGTATACACAGGACATACATGTGCACACACACATGTACACACAGGACATACATGTGCACACACACACGTGCAAGGAAGGGCGCAGGGACCGCTCGGCCCCCGCCTCTTCCCCTCCCGTCCCCGCAGCCCCCCCCGGCCGCGCAGCGCCGTTGCCGTTGGAGCGAGTTTATTTGCACGGAGCGAGCTGGGGCCGGGGCTGGGGGGGGCGCGGGGCTCCCCCCGGTACCGGGAAGGACGGGGGGGGGGGGGGGGGGGGGGGTAAGAGCATCCTCCGGTGCCCGGCTCCAGCCCAGCGCTGGGCGCCGAGGCGGAGCTGAAGCCGTGGTTGTCACCCCCACGATGGGCTCGCAGCCCGGGGCTGCACCCGACGGGACCCCGGGACCACGAATCACGGCTCACCCGGTTGCTGCCGTGGGGCTGCGGACAAACGTCCCCTCACAGCATCCTCACCCGGTGCCCCCCTCGTTGATGGGGGGCAGAGGACAGCGCTGCCCCCGGGGCGCTTCTCCCTCCACGTCTCACGTCTAGAAGTGACCGGGGGCAGCTCGGCCTCAGGGTGCCCCTAAAGGGAGAAGTCAGCAGCGGCGGAGGGCAGGGAAGCGGGGAAGCTGCTCATGGAATAGAGGGAAACCCCACAAGGACCCGGCTCTGTCACCGCGGTGCTGAGGCCCCCAGAGCAGCCCCTCCAGCAGCGCGCAACCCGAGCGCCTCCGGGCGAAGCCTGCTCCCGCTGCTCCCCCCCCTCGCCCCCGGCGCTGGACGGATGGCGGCGGCCGTCGAGAGCCGGTTCAGGAGATCTCGTTGCCGAAGACCTCGAGGACGAGCGGGGTGAGCTGCATGCTGTGCTGCGGCTGGAAGGAGAGGCAGCGGTACTGCCGCGAGTGCTCCTCGTTGAGGCTCCGCAGGTCCGCCAGCTTCTGGATCATCTTGGCGTAGAGCAGGCGGCTGCCGGGCGGAGGGTGCCGGCACCGGATGTAGCTCTGCAGGATCTCGGAGAGCCGGTCCTGGAGGGACTCCACCAGCGCCGTGTCCTGCACGCCCGGGCGGTCTGCGGGGACCGGAGGCGCGGTGATGCCCTCGCCGATCCCAACGGCCCCGGGGGCAGGGGCAGGGAAGGGGAGATCGTGGGGACACTGAACCCATAAGGGAAGGGTGGCCTTAGGGGGACAACACTGAACCCATAAGGGAAGGGGGGTGTTAGAGGGACAACACTGAACCCATAAGGGAAGGGTGGTGTTAGGGGGACAGCACCGAACCCATAAGGGAAGGGCGGCGTTGAGGGGACAACACCGAACCCATAAGGGAAGGGCGGCGTTGAGGGGACAACACTGAATCCATAAGGGAAGGGGGGCATTGTAGGGACAGCACTGAACCCATAAGTGAAGGATGGTGTTAGGGGGACAACACTGAACCCATAAGGGAAGGGTGGTGTTAGGGGGACAACACTGAACCCATAAGGGAAGGGGGGTGTTAGGGGGACAACACTGAACCCATAAGGGAAGGGTGGCGTTGAGGGGACAGCACTGAACCCATAAGGGAAGGGTGGTGTTAGGGGGACAACACTGAACCCATAAGGGAAGGGGGGTGTTAGGGGGACAACACTGAACCCATAAGGGAAGGGTGGTGTTGAGGGGACAGCACTGAACCCATAAGGGAAGGGTGGTGTTAGGGAGACAACACTGAACCCATAAGGGAAGGGTGGTGTTGAGGGGACAACACTGAACCCATAAGGGAAGGGTGGCGTTGAGGGGACAACACTGAACCCATAAGGGAAGGGTGGTGTTAGGGGAACAACACTGAGCCCATAAGGGAAGGGCGGCGTTGAGGGGACAGCACTGAACCCATAAGGGAAGGGCGGCGTTGAGGGGACAGCACTGAACCCATAAGGGAAGGGTGGTGTTATGGGGACAGCACTGAACCCATAAGGGAAGGGTGGTATTGAGGGGACAACACTGAACCCATAAGGGAAGGGGGGTGTTAGGGGGACAACACAGAACCCATAAGGGAAGGGTGGCGTTAGGGGGACAACACTGAACCCATAAGGGGAGGGTGGTGTTAGGGGGACAACACAGAACCCATAAGGGAAGGGTGGCGTTAGGGGGACAACACTGAACCCCATAAGGGAAGGGGGGTGTTACGGGGACAACATTGAACCCATAAGGGAAGGGTGGTGTTGTGGGGACAGCCCCAAAACCCATCAGGTCAGTGACGCAGGGGGATGAGCGTGCTCCTACCTGGGGACAGGATGCAGATGGCCATGAGGAGCACGTGCTCCTCCTCATGAAGGTTCAGCTTCTTCAAGCCCACCTGGAACTTGATGAGCGGCTCCAGCAGGTCCATGTTGTGGCCGGCTGGGAAGAGAACGGACCCTTTAGCACAGCCTGATGGGGATTAGGATCCCCCACTGCTGAGGGATGTGCTTGGAGCCATTGGGTCCTGCTGCAGGATGCACAGTTGGCCCTCAGGCCTCAGAGCTGGTGCTGGGACACCACCAGGCTGCTGGGTACCGCAGCCTGCAGCGCATCCCTGCTCCCAGCCTGCTCCCTGCGGGATGCGGGGATGTGGGTATCAGGGATGCTCTGGCAGCCTCCACCTTGGGTGACGTCGCTGATCCTGTACTTGAAGTCGTTGCTGCCGCAGGTCCAGGTCATGTCCTCGAGGGTGAAGGACTGGTTGGAGCGCAGCATGATCACCTCGATGGCGCTGGACTTGAGCAGCACGATCTGGTCCTCGGCTGCCAGGTCCCTGCACAGGGGGAGAGGCCGAGGTGAGGCCTCAGAGAGCAGAAACCTGCCTCCCATAGAGCATGGAACCATGGAATGGGTTGGGATCGAGGAAGCTTAAAGCGCATCCAGGGACCCCTTCCACTGGAGCA